TATATATCTATTATAAAGCAATTGAGGCTTGCAGGAGAATGTCCTTCCCTGATAGAGAACTGACACCTAAACAAGGACTACTAGAACTTCACGGCAAAGTGTACAGTACAACATCTCATGGTGGAAATGTCACGTTACTCCTATCTTGGAGATAGCTGCAGCATCTATCAGGAAAACCAGCCATGTGATTCAGAAGGAGGGTTTGGTTTCTGCTTCAGTTTGAAAGCTCTCTGCTCTTACTGACCTCACCATACTTCAGATTTTGGTTCATTAAACTGGGTGGAACTGTGTCCTGTGCGTACCACCTAGTTTAACTTCATAGAGCATTTCAACTTACAGCTGTAAGAAACAGTTTTAAGTTTGAAATTTGTCTCCAGAGCACATCCTGTGGCTGCCTTTTACAGACTGGATTGTATGCGATGGCATTACTTCTACAGCATTGTCTTGTGTTTTATAGAAGCCCTCCCAAAAGCTGTTCCAGTCAAACAGATTCACAAAAATCTGCACAAATTCTAGTTGAGTACTAATAAAAAAAAAAAAGGAAAGTTTAACTAGCAAATATGGGATGATGGATGAGCATTTTCACTGCAAAGTGAATCATTCTGTTCATAATTCATTTCACTGCATCTGATTATTGCACGTGTCCCTCCGTGGCACAGGTGAGCCGTGGGGATGGTGAAAAATATATATTTCACACACTGTTTCATGTGCCATGTTTCTTCTGCTGGAGGCACGTAGGCAGTATGCTCTACAATATTTTACATCTGAATGCCTGAACAAAATAATAGACCAAGCTAAAAAATAAAAAAAAAAAGATGAAAACTTGTCCCCACCAAGTTTAAGGAAAAATGAAAAAAACCCCTACATTGCTTTGAAAAAGCCTGGGCATCATTCTAGATGAATTTAAGGGTGGTCTTACTGCAACTGTAATTATAGTCATGAGCAAAGCCTTCATACTTTAGTTAAAGAATTTTTAATCTCAGGTTGCTCAGAGATACACCTGCTACGGTTACTTTCACACCTTCTTAGAGACTGAACACCCAGGACACTCGTCACATTGCAAGAACAAGGCCACAGTGCAACTTGACATTAGTTCCCTTTATAAAAAGGTAGATTTTGGTACCCATAGCAAATGAACAAGTGTTAAGCAGAAAGAAGTGATCATTTGTACAGAGACACAGTGGATACGTCCAATACCATCATACCATGATTTTAAATCTCATCGGCGGTAAGGATTTACCTAAATTCACTGCAAAAAAACCCCCAGGCTACATACTTAAACATACGTATATATATAAAAAAATATATATTTGTCTTTCTACTTTTTTGGGTTTGTTTTTTTTTCCTTTGAAAACAAAATTGGAAGAATAGCGAAGAAAAACACCAGGAGATAGTGTACTGTACAGTCTGACTTCATGAAAACACAAATATAACCATATACTTCTTTATTAGTTAGAATATTCATCAGATTTTGAAATTTATTCTAATATTTATTCTAACTGTGCTTTTTTCTTTTTTTTAAAGGTTACCTCTCCCAGAAGCTTTCAAATTCCACTAAAACTGATAATAAAAGCTACAGCTACCTATTTTTTTTAAGCGAGTTAATAATAGAATAATAGAAATAAATAGAAATCACAGTACTAGAAGAGTTCTCCTTAGGAGCCCAATTTTCTGTCATCTCAGGCACCAATCGAAGTAAATCTCTTAATGAATTTAGCAAACTACATTAAATGAGGTTAGGGTTTTTGATCAGCTATTGCTATTGACAAGCTCTGCCAGACCACTGCATCAACGAAACCCTTCAGTTTTAAATAGGCCTCTCCCAGTTTGATGTTATATATAAATGAGGATCAGATTTCGTCTGCAATTATTCTGCGTGACTAAACTAGATAAGCCGCTATAGTCTCACCACTTAAGTAAATGTTAACTTACCATCATTCGTTTATCTCTAAGTCACTATCAACGTCATCATTTATTAAAGCTGTCCAACACTTAGAAATGGAAATAACAGTAATACTTAGTCTAGTGCAATTAAAACAAAGCCTGATGGAAAACCTCAAATCCACCCACTAAAGGAGCTAACTGATACCTCCCTCTTCTTGCCTGAAATATTAAAGACCAGTATCTTTTAACTTCTAGGATGGTGATGACCCTGTTTCAGAATAAGTTCTCTAACAGAGCACCTGAAACAGATCATTAGCTGGCTAATGCCAATTACATCCTCTTCCTGACCACAAGTCATTCTCTTTATGCCTTTAATACATTACGAAATGCAGATCTACAAATAGAATGACATAACTCTGCATGCAGCGCACCACAAATTGTTTTTTTTTGAGTGGGTACACTAGTCTATTAGAACATACTTAACCATGAGAAAGGAACAAGACTATGGTTCTACGAACTGTTCAGTAACATAATTTAGATATTATGCTTTGAAATGAAGGTAGAAATTTGTTTATTTCTTTAAATATATTTCTTGTAATTTCTTATAAACCCCACCCATGGTTTCATTTTTCTCCTCATACTTTGTAAAAATGAAAGGCAAGATTAGCATACACCTTAAATATACAAAAAGATACAAATTCTTTTCAGACAGAGTTCCTTTCTCTGGAATACATGAAACAAGTAACACAAAACTGTATTTGGTAAGAGATCTTCAGGCCGGCTAAAGTAACGAGGTAACAGGTCAATGTCAGACTATGTTACAAGCACTGAAAGCAGAACAATAATTTAAAGTTTCAATACAATTCTTTCTGATAAAATAATTTGATGTATATTTACAGTTTAGTACAATAGAAACGTATAATTGTAAGGCATAATAATAATTCTTGGCAGACAATGCTATGACACATTCCTTTGTCCAGCAGGTACCAAGTGGCAATACACATTCAAGCACTTTTTTGTTTTTATTTTTTTTTAGACTTATCTTCACTTGCAACGTAATCTGGCCACCAGGTAAGCTATGCTCAGGAACAGCCACACAATCAGTAAATTGGGGCTGAGAGCTAGTAAAGGAATAGAGTAGAGGAGGCTGGGATCTAGTCTGAAATCTCGGATGGGCACCAAGCCACTCAAGTTCTTCTGGGTGACTACCTCCCGTGTTCCAATGCTGTGAAAAGGAAGAAGGTTGGGAGGAGGGAAAATAAAAGAGAAAGGAAGATGGACGTGCAAATGAATGTATAAAAAAGAGATGGCAACACAAGGTGGTTGCGAAAGTGAAAAAAACATGGAAGAAAGCACAACGAAAACCAGAAGATGAAGTAAAGAAAGAGTGGAAAAACATCTCAAAAATAAGTATCCGCACAATTACAGAAATAAGGATTAGAGAATAAAAGAGAAAAATAAGAAAGAAGTACTGTAGTCTACTGAAAATAAACACATGTAGGTTGAACATAAATGGTTTTCCATGTTCATTCTTTCAGGTTACCAAGCAATAATATCCCATGCTGCTCTGCCATGCTTCCGCATGCTGCAAAGAAGTGGAGCTCTGAAAAGCAAGCTGAACATGAATAACCATTGTAATATTTGACCCTTTCAAACATCTTTCCATGTAGGCTGCAGTGAAATAATTTAACCTTTTAACTACCTGCTCAATATGTGAACAAAACCCCAAGCCACCCACTTATTCTTCTTCTTCAGCATGATTCCAAGTGTGTTATCAATGTGCTTTCCAAAATGCATGTTTCTCAAGTGCCTCAACATATGCACACGACAGCCCACCTCAGTACGGCTCAGCTTCCTACATCACTGAGCACCGAAGGCCTACAGCAGAGAACACCTCTGCCGGTAACCTGAGGCTCTGTAGCACGGTGATTCATTTTGGAACATTCTTCACACTTTGTGTGGTTCATCTCTATTGTTAGTTTACAAAGCAATGACTATACGCAACCTGTGAACCTGAGCCTATTACAACAAGCGTGCTCACTCCATCCAGAAAGGTGACGCATAACCTCGCTGGTTGCCTAGCAAGGTGAGGTAACCAACAGACAATGTCTTGGAAGACATCAGAGAAACCCTGGAGGTGTTGAAAAACAGCCTTCAGATGCTGGTGAAGCTTCAAGTCAAACGGAATTAAGTGGGTAGGGAACTAAATCAACTGTATTTCTGACCCAGATGAACACACCCAAACTAGTGATTAAACTGTGCTTGCACTCCTGGTGCCTACACTGGGTAAGGGCAGATTGGAACTGTGATGCCTACAAATCGCAGTTATCTTTGTAGCGGCGGGGAGGTGTGTGTGCGTGCAATTGAGGGAATCAGTAAGTGGAAAGCTAATGTTAACTGGGAAGTTGTGGGTATAGGCTCAACAGAATTGTCTGGAGGAAGAAAAGCATTTTAGGATATAGATAAGGAAGCAAAACAATGCGAGAGGGAAAGAAGAAAGAAAGGCTCAAAATGACAAGATGATGTTATGAACATCACATGCCACATCTCTACTATTCAAAGTTTGTATCAAGCTACTCAATTTTACACAAAGACACATGCACAGACACATACAGTGGGAGTGCAGGCAATAGCTGGAAAGTGCATTTCTTGTCACTGTTGGCCCATGTTTTCACCCGAGGGGTGAAAAGTCACCTTTTGGAAATACCAATACAATACAATTGTACGGCATCTTAAAGCATATACCAAGGACCAGGGTAAAGAGACAAAGCAAATTCCTCGCTAATCCAGCTTTTGCATGGGAATCCTCTCTCTAAGGAGAGACCAGGGTTGCCCTGTGCTGGACAACGCCTGCTCCAGGTGGCTCTCATGGACCCCGAGGGGTGAAAAGTCACCTTTTGGAAATACCAATACAATACAATTGTACGGCATCTTAAAGCATATACCAAGGACCAGGGTAAAGAGACAAAGCAAATTCCTCGCTAATCCAGCTTTTGCATGGGAATCCTCTCTCTAAGGAGAGACCAGGGTTGCCCTGTGCTGGACAACGCCTGCTCCAGGTGGCTCTCATGGACCCACCACAAGTC